GGAGTAGGAACCTACCCAGTATGACCTCGTCGTAATTACGTCTGCAACAACGCTATTTCCAAATAAGGTCACATTCTGAGGTCCTGGAGGTTAGGACTTCACATGAATTTTTGGAAGACGCAATTCAACCTATAACAAACTCCTAAAACACAAGTTACAGTCAGGAACACTCTACCAGTCTTCACAGCCTTTAAAATCAAGGTTGCAAATTCTCAGATCAAAGCAAACTCCACAGGGGTGCTTTTAGAGGGAATACAAGGAATGTCTAATCTTTGTTTCAGGAGACTTGCTTGTCTTGAAGAGGAATACAGATGCAGATCAGGACACTGGGGCCTTGTGTCACAGAAGCCTCCAGAGTGCCAGTGGAGAGTAGGGGTGAGCTGGGAGGGAAAGTGTAAAAGCTCAGTGCACCTTTCCTCCTCGTTGGGCATTTTGACGGAGGCAGTGCCTCTTGCCTGGCAGATTAGCAGTTTCAGACTGTCTCCACCCCTTCTAGAAACTTCGTGTGAGCCTAGGCAGGAGGGCAGGGCCCAGCTTCAACCTGTACACATTGCTACAGTGCCCTGGAAAGTCCCAGCCATAAGATTGGGACTTAGATGGTGAAGGGAGCTTAACACCTGCTTCCTAACTTTCCAAAACAAACTGTCATTTTTCAGGAGTGCCAAAGGAATAAAACACCTACCCACCCTAAGCAAGCAACATACAGCTGTACACCCTCAAGTTTCTCCAAAGAGCAAGGGCTTCTGAATAGACTGTAGTGACTCTTCCAACTCGAGTCAGAAGTGGTTCTACAAGGTCGCCACTAGAGGGCAGGCTGTTAAAACGTTCCTTTCAAACCAGTCGTTCTGCAAAAGCAAAAGCTGACACAAGCTGACAAGCTCCAGGCTTCAAAGGCGGCTTTCTAGCGGGCCCTCTCCTACATGTACTGCAACTACACGTTCAGTGACGAGCAACAGCACGCGAAGCACTACCTTGTTTGCATGCTACCATTTTCTTTTCAGAGTAAATTTACAGTGTAAAGCCCAGCAACTAACCTGCTCTTCCTTCAGCTTTTCTTCTGTTGGGGGTTCCTGGAAGTGAAGGAATTACTGGCCAGGGCAGGTTAAAGGATACCGGGATGAACTCACTCAGGCACCCATCCTCTCCTTGGTGCCAAGCTTACAAGAGTACTACTCAGCACGAACACCCCCCAAAGGAAACTGTATTTAATTCCTCAAATAAGTCTTAAAAACCATAATTTTATAAACTCTTCTGTCGCAAACTCTTCCAAAAAAAGAAACGCTCAAGTCTACAGATGGCTTCGGTCCCATGCAGAATTTGGCTTCCCTTCTCTGTCCCCTACCCGCACCTAGATACATCAGTCTTGTCTGTTGTCATGTATAGACTTTATCATGTCACCATGATAAGGCCAAAACTAAAGTATTTCCAAACAGTGCATTTTCCTTCTCAAAGACTAGGCCTCCTACTGCTGAAAGGGCATCACTTAGAAACAGCCCCCCGGCCTCCCTGGAGAGAGCTGGCCACCAACCTCATTGGTCAGCGTTTATGGAGAGCTTCCCAGTTCTTCCTTGGAGGTCTCAACAGGATTTCCCTAGAGGAGGAGGGCTTCGTGGAATAAATGACAAAGAACTGGGGAAGGCCTGCCAGGTCGCTGGGCTCAGGCTTCTCATTGTTCAGCCCACCGGCTTCCCAGGGCTCTGGTCCAAGGCCGCAGAACCAGGAAACTACAGAATTAGTGCATCCACCCACCCCCTACACACACACACACACACACACACACACACACACACACACACACACACGGGGCACGGAGGAGGAAACAGTCTGCATAATAAGACGAAGCCAAGAGACACTTCTCAGCACCCCCTTGCGAGAAGGATGACTGAGACCTGGGGCAGGAAGAAAGCTGCAAGAGAAGCAGAGGTTTATTCTTTGCGAGAAGGAGGGAGAACAAGGAAAGGCACTTCTTTTTCAAGTGCTTCATGACACGAAATTCTGCTTTTGAATTCCTGCATTCATTTCAAAAAAAAAAAAACTATCAGATATTTTTAAATCATAGAAACAAATGATGTTTGTGGGAGCTGGTCAAACAACAGAGATAGAGAAATTTAATAATCATCCCCTTCTAAATATGGAAGAAACTTCCCGTAAGTTCTGAGTTTTGTAGACAAAGCACCTTTTTACCTCTGAGCTGTAACATTTCTCCTTTGTTGGCCCAGAGTTTGCTCTGAACAAGGAGGGCCGATTACCTCACGTGCACAGATAATCTCTATAGCACAGCTAAGAAAACTCAAGAAATAGGGATTAGTTATCTCCAGTTACCCCTGATAAATTTCCTTAGAGTCAAAATAACATTTTTGCCTTAAATATCCAGGGAAGTGAGGCACATTGTTTCTCAAACAAGTATTGAGACATAGTGTCAGGGTCTGAGAATACTATGTGAGCCATAAAATTCTGTTTTCTTTTGATCTTTGAAAATAGTCTTTAATAGTTTGAAAGAGCCTTCTGAGGTGATAGTTCACAATGAAAGGACATTTACATTGGCATTTTAATCTTAAAAACTTAGATTTTTAAGATTCCTGCTCTGAGACTGCTAGAAATTATTTTCTCATAAAAGGCCTGTGAATATTATTAAGATTTACCTAGGTCCATGGGTCCTAAATCTCACTGTGCATTAAATTTTCACGGGAGCTTCTTAAAAATACAGGCTCTGGCTCTCCCACTCCAGAATTGCTCGGGGCAAGGCCTGATCTGTATTCTATGTGGGGCCCAGGTGATTGTGACCAGCAGACAATGATTTCAGAGACAGAGGTTTTCCTCCATCCCCAGCTCTGCCCCTGTCTCTCATCAGTCCGTGTCCAGCAGCACAAAGGGACCTTCCCCTCCCCAGCCACAAAATGTCCCCTCTCCTTTTCCCCTCTGAGAGAACCTGATCAGAACGGTGCCTTTCCAAGTGTCCTTCCCAGACAAGGAGCAACAGCGTCACCTGGAAACGTGTCAGAAATGCACATTCTCAAGCTCCACCCAAGACCTACTAAATTAGAAATTCTGGGGATGGGCAGACCCAGTAACCTGTGTTTTAACAAGCTTTCCAGGTGATTCCAATGCACACTTAAGTTTGATCACCACTGGATTGGAGAATTTCACAACTGCAAGAGAGAATGAAGACAGACATAACTCCACGTAAGGTAGAAGCAAGTTTATTAATGACAACCTTTAATTACAACCACTCTCAAGTGTAAAAAATAAAGGGTGATTAATTAAAATTTAGAACTCACTTGGACTTGCTGTTTGGCCTTTCACTGGATGTGCCAAAGGGTGGGAAGCTCGCCTGATTCTTAATCAACTGGTCAGGTGGAGTTCACTGGAGAATGAGGTAACAAACAAGACAAGACAAGAGTGCCAACTGGAGAGCTCAAGTCTCCGCCATGTTGGGATGACAATACGGAATGACAACAGTGGTGGGGGCAGAGATGAAACAAAATAATCTTACAGCCAGAATATGGAACGAACATCTCTAACTACACAGAGACACAGAAACACACACATGCAGAGTCATACACACCTTAACTCTGGAGACTAGATTTTCAAAGAATTTTTGTCCTTTCTCTGAGCAGATGGACACATTCATCAGCCACAGCGATGCAACATGGGGCTGAAATGGAAAACCTTGCTAAGTTTCCACCAACTATGCTAGCTGGCTGCCCAGCTCTGTGTTGGTAAGTGTGTCATCACCGTAAAATACACCTGTGGTCTTCCCAGTGTTCCACAGACTAACTTCTCCCCAGGGGGTGCGACATCCTGGTGGACCTGGATGATTAAAACCTGGGGGCAAAACTCGTCCCTCCCACCTGGAACGGGGGCAGGTGGCAGTATCTGGAAGTGTTTCCCACCTTGTGTCACAGAACACTTGCCCCATCAATGCTCTCCCCTCCAAAGAGTTTGTGCTTTGTTACCATCCTGATGGTGAGTCTGTACTAAGAAAAGAAGGAGCTCTGGCCATGCACTCTGGGTTTGTTTTTGGTTTTGTTTGTTTTTAATAAAAACAAACTAAAACCAGAAGAAACCATCAGAAGCTTTGTGTCCGCATCATTTCAGAATTGGCTTTAATTCCCTTCAAAGAGAAAGACGGGGAGGCTGCAGAAGAGGCCACGATGATCAACCGACACGATTCAGAAAGTGTTGAGTCCACAGAAGCATTTGCGATGGCCCAGATGGATCCTTCGCAGACAGGGAGGACACCTCTTAAGGCTGTGAACCCACGAAATCAATGCTGACCGAATAACGTTTTTAAAGGTTTGTAGAAAAGACGGCAGGAAAAGGAGTTGGTGGATTGATTCACAGGTCATGCAGGGAGATTCTATAAAAAATTAATATTCGAGCTGAGTAAAAAAAAATCTTTAAAATTTAAGAAACTGTATCATAGCTTTCACTTTTGGAAGAAGAAAAGAACAAAAACAAAAAAACACCCACAACAAAACGAAACCCATAGTATTCCAGAGTTTCCAAGGAATCCAACGACTAATTTGGTAGGCTGCAGTATTTATGACCTCTTCATTAACCTCATTTTCTCCTTGGATTTCATTGATAAATAAAGCTCAGGCCTACTTAGAAAAGAGATCTGTCCTGCTAAAATTCAGCATCATGAAGTGTTCCAAAGCCCCTGCTCAGCACACAAGGAATATACAACTTCTCTTACGAGGAGAAACTTCAGGAGAGACCAGACGTGCCCACCCAAGTTCCTTGTTGAATGTGGTCACAAAATCTGAACCCAAAGGCAAGCTGTTTTCTTCTTGGGACCATGGTTGTAGCAGTTCCTTGAAATGTACAGTGAAGGGATGCCGAGCAACCACAGCCCTCCCAGGTAAGGGGTTGAGTTTTAGAAAAGACGCACTTCCTCAGGCCACGGCACAGAAGGCAGCCCTCCAACTACCGAAGCAGAGAACAAGGCTTTTCCACAAATTCAGTACATCTGGGTTCCCCCACCCTCCCTTTTTTTCTCATTTGGTAAGTATCCAACCGTCCAGAAATTCATGGCTACAATAGAGACTGACGGCGCAACGACTTTCATACTGGTTATTATTATTTTTTTTTAATTCTGTCAGTGAGCAGCATTTCCCAGTTCTACCCCCCCAAAAACTAAGTTCTGATGGCAGCTCCATCAGGTGGGATCGCAGGATGCCTCTGTGATTAGGGTCCGTGCAGCATGGGTATCAGTTGGGCGCACTGGAGGGTCAGGAAGGCAGGGTCTGTCCAGTGTCTGGAGGCAGCTGTTGCAGGCGCTCTACCAGCTAGCCCTGACAGCTTCAATATCACTCACCAGGTTCTGTGCCAGGCAGATCCCAAAAATCTGGGCAAGGAAGGAAAAGACAGTCAAACAGTAGAACTTTTAACTTTAGATCAGGCTTTTCTTTGGCTACTGAATTCCACTTTTTAAAAATCTTTGATTTTTTTAAAATTGAGATAGAATTCACATCCCACAAAATTCATCCTTTTAAAGTGTATAAGTTATAGTGATTTTCGGTATATTCGTGAGGATGTGCAACTATCACCGCTATCTAAATCCAGAACATTTTGGTTACCCCAAAAAGAAACTCTGTACCCATGAGCAGTCATCCAGACCCCACCCCCATCCCAACAGGCCTGGCAACCACTAAGCCACATTCTATCGCTATGGATTGGCCTATTCTGGACATTTAATATAAACAGAATCATATAACATATGGCCTTTTGTGTTGGTCTGCTTTCATGTAGCAAAATGTTTTCAAGGTTCGTCCACGTTGCAACAGTAGTTCAATCTTTTCGATGGCTGAATAATATTCCATTATATGGATACACCACATTTTGTTTATCCATTCATCAGATGATGGACATTTAGATGGTTTTCACTTTTTGGCTATTGCAAATAATGCTGCTCTGAACATCTGTGTACTTTTTGGGCGAACATGTTTTCAGTACTTTTGGGCACATACCTAGGAGTAGAATTGCTGCGTCATATGGTAACTCTGTTTAATTTTCTCGTGAACTGACAAATTGTTTTCCAAAGAGACTGCATCATTTTCATTCCCTTCAGCAATGTATGAGGGTTCCAATTTCTCCACATCCTAACCAGCTCTTGTTATTGGTTTGTCTTTTTTATTATAGCCACCTTGATATGTTTGAAGTGGTATGTCATTGTGCTTTTGATTTGAATTTCCCTCCCAGTTAACGATGTCATTACAAATAGCTAATGTGTATTTTCTTTGGAGAAATGTCTATTCAAATCCTTTGCCCACCTTTAAATTGGGTTTGTCTTCTTTTATTGTTGAGTTGTTCTTCATATGTTCTACATACTGGGTCCTTGACAGATGTACTGATGTGCAAATATTTTCTCCCATTTTGTGGGTTGTCTTTTCACTTTCTTGATAGTATCATTTTCAGCACAGAAGTTTTTAATTTTGAAGAAGCCCAATTTGTCCACTCTTCCTTTGGTTGCTTGTGCTTTTGGTATCGTATCTAAGAAAACACTGCCTAATTCAAGGTCACGAAGATTTACACCTATACTTTCTTCTAAAACTTTTATAGCTTTACCTTTTACATTTAGGTCTTTGGTCTGTTTTGAGTTTTTATTTTTATTTTTTGGCCAAACCATGCAAGCTAGCAGGATCTTAGCGCCCCCCACCCCCCAACCAGGGATCGAACCCAGGACCCCTGCAGTGGAAGCACAGAGTCCTAATCACTGAACCGCAAGGGAATTTTGAGTTAATTTTTATATGTGATGTGAGTTAGGGGTCCAGATACAATCTTTTGCATATAGATATCCAGTTGGTCCAGCACCGTTTGTTGAAAAGACTACTGTTTCTCCATTGAATGGTCTTGGTTTCCTGGTCAAAATATCAGCTGACCATAGATATAGAGGCTTTTTTGAACTTTCAATTCCATTCCACTAATCTGTAGGTCCAACCTTATGCCAGTACACTCTATCCTGATCACGGGAGCTTCGTAGTAAGTTTTGAATTGGGAAGTGTGGATTCTCCAACTTTGTGCTTTTTAAAGTTTGTTTTGCTATGCTGGGTCCCTTGAATTTCCATATGAATTGTTGGATCAGCTTGTCCATTTTTGCAAAAAAAGGCAGTTGTAATTTTGGTAGGGGTTGCACTGAATCTGTACATCAATTTCGGGAGTACTGTCACCTTAACAATATTAAGTCTTCCAATCCGTGAATGCGAATGGCTTTCCATTTATTTAGGCCTTCTTTAATTTCTTTCAACCATGGCGCCTCATTTGTGACCCTCTAAGTTAAAGGTGTCACATCACCATAAGATGCAAAGCCTAGCTCTTGGGACTTCCCAGGAGGAAAAGTAGGTGCTCTCTTCCCTCACAGCACTTTGGCAAGGTGGCCCAGAGAGAGAAAGGAGCAGAGCGTATCTGTGAAACTCCAAAAAGCCTTAGCCTTTCCACTGGGCAAGACTCTACATCTGACCATTCCTGTCTGACCGGTTGTCACAATGCCGCATTACTGAGCCCATGGCAATGTTGGAATGCCAGCAGGCAAATACTGACCCAGTCAATTTCTCTTTCTTGAAAAGGAAAAAAAAAAAAAAAAAAAAGGTTTCCTAAAGTCTTTCAGGACAGTAGCATCTAAAATCAGAGCTTCAATAAAATACAAACCAAATATAGTTGAGGTCTGTTCCCCAGCCCTCCAATGTGTCTTAAAAACTGTGAAATGATGGTGAATAAGCAAAGCTCCTGTCCTGGTGAGTGCTCTCCCAGGGCATCATTTCCCTGCGACATCCATCTTACCTGTAGCAATGCAATGCCTATAAAAATACCAGCCACAATGGTTAAGTTGTCCTGCAACCACTTCTCAAACTGGGGCACACAGCCTTTCGTGTAGATTACAATCTGCTGATCGACTTCCTTCAGAAGGGAAGAGGAGAGCACAGCATCACTAAGCAAGTTCAAAAGCTCCTCCAACACCCTTCGTGCTAAGCGACAAGACGAGTTTCCACTTACTGGCTTTTGCCTGGCATCATAGCCACACTGAGTGTTGATGACATCTTCCTGGTGGAGAAAAGAAACAGAAGAGTGAAATTCACTCTTGTCAGAGAGAAAGCCCACCTAGGGGTCAGCAGAGGACCCCTTTTAAGTGCTGGTCAGAAAATCTTGATTTGGGCACACAGACGTCCCAGGCACCATGTTAAACACTTTTACACATAATTCCACGGAATTATTATAACCATCCTCAGAAGTAGGTATTAAATATCCCTTCCTTTCCAAATGAGGAAAACTGAGACTCAGGAAATATCAGATAGACTAGTAATTCCATTATGTGGAAGGCTCTAGATTCAAAGTTGATAATCTCAAGAAGCTTACGCATTTAGGAAACTGGAGACATAAAAACCACAGTTAAAGGTTTCTTATAATTACTTTCATGACTATATTCACTTATGATCTTTTGGGGGGAATTCTACTTTTAAATCTATATACTTGTATGTGATTTAAATGATTTTTCAATGAGAAGGAATTATTCTGATAATTTTAAATGATACCCCGACCACACAGCACGTGGACAGATGCCCTGAAATCTTATAGGCCTGATCAGAAACGTGGGTTCCGCTGCTTTAGGTGTGTTTATGTTTCCCCTCTGGAGGGTACGGGGTGGATTTTATTAGCTTAGCATTTATGGAATAAGATATCTCTACCCAGAGGATCTGTCGTTGAAAGGGGGGGCACAACACCTGAGAATCTTCAGAATTCTTCTGATGGAACGGTAACTCAGGGCAGGGGCTGGAGACGGAGAGAGCAAGGCTTGCATCTACTGCCTGGGTGGGCGCCCTGGGCTCTGTGCTGGGCGCTCTCTTGCCTCCCAGCCTCCTCAGAGGAAAGGAGAAGTGAGCTAGTGCTCACTGAGGGCTCAGAGCAGGGCAGCACAGTCCTTACCGACTCTGTCTCCTTCAGACCACCTCTGGTGGGCAGCCTACGAGAAGCTGTGCTTTGCTATCTCAGACCACTGTCCCCTCTTGTCTCTTTATTTTTTTTCATCTTTTTAAATCGAAGTGTAGTAGATTTGCAATATTGTATTAGCTTCAGGGGTACAGCATAATGATTCAGTATCCTTACAGACGAACCATGCCCCCTTTTAAAGAGACCTGCACCGCCCCCCCCTACCTTGCAGGGGAAAATCAGCCATGAACTCATCAGCGCCCACTCGGCTCTGCTCCTTGTGGGGAAGGGCGGGTCTGGGAGAGGACACCTGGGGACTGACCAGCCAGAGAGAGGCTGAAGAGGGCGGAAGGGCCAGGGGCACCTTTTCTCTCACATTCATTGTTCTAACCCTCGATTCTGGCTTTTAACTTACAGCAGGGGTGCTGCATTTTAAGCTGTTCTATATACCAGGCACATGATTTGACTCAAAATACAATCAAACCTGTGGTAAAGAGGGTGGCTTGTGAACAGGTTTATGTTTTTGTTTTTTTTTAAAAAAAGAATGACTGTAGTCATTCTGGCCCAGAGTCTGGGCAGCTGCAGTCTTCCTGCAAGTGGTCTCGTCCTAACTTGTCTCAAACTCTTCTGCTATTCCTAGTATTCCTTCGGAGCTAAGTGGACAAGAAAAGGGTTACTAACCCCAAGCAATGCAGAGAGCTTCCACAAAAGCCCATCCTTCTCGCAAAGAAGGAATCACAGTCAATACAGGCAGCTGCCTGAGTCTAAGCTCAGTTCCATCACTTGCCAGCAATGTGAGCTTGGGAAAGTTACTTAAACTCCACGGGCCTTGATTTCACCTGAAAAGGGAAGATAATGGTGGTATCTGCCAGCAGGGATGTTCCAAACTTAAGCCAACACACAAAAAGGCTTAGAATAGGAACCAGCACATACCGCTAAATTAAGGTCAGGGATGATTACTCCTACTGGGAAGATCTGAGCACTAACCCCCCTACAGGAGCTACAGTTAGGAATAAGAGGGTAAGAGGTTTCCAGAAAAAACCCACTCTGCTCATCCCACACACGCTCTCGGTGTGATGCGCGGAGCAGGCCAACGGGTTGCTGGCAGCCACTTACTGCGGGGTCTTTAGTACAGCAGGAGAAGGGCACGCCGCATCGCTCTCGACTTGCATTGGAATCTGTGCAATTGAAGTAAATATTTAGGTTCCAATCATCAGCTCCAAAAGCCCCACAGCACTGCCACTAGAGCAAACAGGAGAGAATTAGAACATCTCGACTTGGAGGCGACCAGGTGCCTACACTTGCACCCGCCAGGATGACCCACACCCAGCTTCTGCCAAGCTCTAACCTTCTCTGTATCTCAGAATTTATTTTTAAACCAACTGAACATAAAGGGCCCCTGTAAAAGCTTCCAAGGTAAGGCTGAAGGTTTGTAAGGATGTGTTGGCGTGAGATTTAGAAAACAACTGATGAGACCCGTGGTGTTAGGTGGAAGACGGGCAGAGCCTGAGTTGTACAGCAGGGCCCAGTTAGAGATAAGCAAGACAGAAAACAGCGGTAGTGTCTGAAGGAGGCAGCTGGGGTTGTGGGTAGGAGATCTAGAGGCTTACTTTTTTTAAAATTTCCATCTCTACACCTGAACGCTTTTTAAAAAAAATCCATTTTATTGAGGTGTAATTGATATACAATAAACTGCACATATTTAAAGTATACAATTTTATAAGTTTTGACACACTTATACATGGTAAAACCATCACCACAAGCAAGACAGTGAACATACTCGTTACCTTCCCCCAAGTTTTAGAGGCTTACTTTTCATTCTATATCTGTTTCTACTCTGAATTTTTATAAACAAGAGTGTGTATTTACATTTTCAACCTGAAAAACATTCAATCATCTAATTAAAATATAATCAAGCAAGCTGTTAAATTCAGTGGGTCTTAAACGAGGCCTGATTCAAGGGCCGCTCCATCATAAGCCCCTTTGACACTCCCCATGCTGGACTAGCCCTGCTTCTCCAAGGTAAATAAACATCAAGCCTTGACCATTTTAAGGGTTTCAAGACCAATAGCGACTTCAAAGTATTAAAGGCCACGAGAGAAAAGTGAAATCACATGAAATAACAGAATCTCCATATAAAGCAGACAGCATCTCAAGAGAACGTGTATCGCATGTTATTCCAACTCATCGAGTCCTCCGAGGGCTTGGGTTGTGCATCTCCAGTTTGCCTACAATGCCCCATCAGATTTGTCACGCAAACTAGTCAGCAATAATACTTGGCAAGGTGTGAGCTTGCATCCGTTATGACCCAACAAAACAGTGAAGCCTGCTGAGGAGATGAAACAGGGCTTAACTTCACACCTGAGGGACAGCAGGCTCCAGGACAGTCGTTGCTGTCACCGAACAAAGGCCACACAATTCAGCTCGCTTCCGAGCACCTAAGGAGGGCAGGGGGCCTCCCTCGCGCCGATGGAGCTCTCTCCTCCCTTTATCAAAGGGACCCCAGCTCACTCTGGAAAACTGTCCAACCAAGAGACAGCCACTGGTCCGCGGAGCTTCTGTCTGCCCTCCAGTTCCGCCATATACGTGAACGTCACGGACACGGCTCTCCAGGTCTGCTCACCTTATCCAGTTTCTCAGTGCATGCAAATAAAGGCCTGTCAGTTTGTAGGACAATAACACCTGAAGCCTGATATAAAACCATGTACATCTTATGAGAGTGTCATGATATCCCCACGAGTTAAGTAGCTGCTACTGTTATTCCCATTTTACTCTTGGGGAAATAGCTCAAGGTCCTATTAGCCCGAGGTCACTTAGCTAATCAGATTCTGGCACTAGCTGTGTCTTCCGAACCCTTGTTTATACCATCCTGCGTTGTGAGTGGAACAGGGCATCTGCTACTTTGTTCGCATCGCAGAGGCTGTCACGTCGTAATGTTGAGAAACCTGAGTGGGGTGGCTCTACTCCACAGGCTCTTCACTTGTGAGAAGCCACCAAGGCTTGACTTTCAGTTTTAGCTGCGGGTGCTATAATAATATTTGGATAGGCACAATTCTAGGAACTTTGTGGATAAACATTCTATTGACTAAGTATATTATTATGAGCTATGAAGTGTGGAGAATGATCAAAAAGGGGGCCAAGAATAGGAAAGAACCCACATCTAACACCAAAGAACAGGGTTAAACCTATAGCAAAACAATAGTCTTCAAATGTCCATAGGAATGGGCACCTTTGACTCTAACGTTTTTGCCTAAGAGTTTTCTTCCTTGTTCTTAGTAGAAATTGAGGTAAGTGAAAATAAGACATTTCCCATTAGGGTACATATCGTGTATGCCCTAGAACAAGTCAGAAAATAATAAATACACAAGCAAACAGACAAAAGCCCATGCAGAAAAGTCAGAGGTACGTTCCAGCTGGCAGGTGCAGAAGCCAGGAGGAGTTTTCATTGGGGTCATCCTTCCGAGAAGGCTTTCAACTTGAAAATAAACGAAATTTAAACTTACATATTCCTGGGTGAAGTCTATGAGGTTTTGCAAATCAATGTCATCCCTGTACGCTCTGATGTTGTTGTTTATAAAGAAATACAGCTGGTCTTTGATCCAGTCTTTGAAAACAAATGCCAGAACCCCGGCAGTGAGCTCCAGGAAGAAAATGATTCCCAGGAATACAGAAAACTAAAACAAAAGGCACATACACAGAGAACAGTTATAAGGGCTATTTTGATCCTATACAGTCAAATGCTTCCTTCTAAAAAGGTTTATAATACCATTGGGTTGTTACCCATGGCCAAAGCAGATAACCTTCAGTTTCTTAAGATTCATTAATAGAATATTACACTCCAAGAAAGGATTTTTAAAAATCACTTCAAAATCACATTTTAGGGGCTCTGGTGTTCCATGTGGTAATTAACCAACAAAGCCCATAAGCAGACATGGATAACAGGAATTCCTCATTAGACCCACATTAAGGCCTAATGAATTTCTCCTGATTGATGCATTCGTCAGACGCTTGAACAACGACCTGCTCCTACCTCTAGTAAGCTTTTGTAACGCTGAAAGATAAATTAGCCCAGTATTTTAAGATCGCCTGTCATTTGTTACCGTGGCCTTGATTCTGTATGCAATATAGCCCTTTTCCGGATTCAGATACTGTGTTAATTCCCCTTTGCACCTGCTACACGGGGTAAAACAGCAGATGGGTTCATTTTAGGTGAAGAGGTCAAAGAGGAACTGGGTGGGAAGGAGGGGGCAGCTGTGACATGAAAATAATTTCCCGTGATGCAAACAAAATGAAACCACTGGGTTGAGGGCTTTCTTGGGACAGCAAGCTGTGCCAGCTTTCCTTTGTGAAGCACCAGGCTCAGAATATTTTAAACAGCATCAACACGCAGCCAGAGGAAGACTTCCGGTTGACACAGACAACAAGAATTTAAAAGGAAGGTTGGAGACCACAGGTTACAAGGTAATTGCCCATAAATCTGCATAAATTTCCCTTTCATCTAGAAGACCCAGAAGTGTCTCATCTTAGTCATATCAACGTCCCGCTCACGCCCATGGTTCTTTCCACTTCCTCCCACCCCCATGTTCTCACCCTTTTCAAACTATTTTGCTCAAGCCATTTACGAGAAATGAGGCTGTGAAGGACCAGAGAGTAAACGGCAGGCAAAATTCTGTGGACAAGGGCAGAAAGGGTGGCACTGGGGCCACCCGCTGAGCCGAGCTCCTGAGGGCTCCTGCCACACAGGGAGAGGCTGGGGAGGTAGAGGGGCTACGGTCTGCTGTGCCTACACTCAGCGAGCAGACAGCATGCAGCCAACCAAGAGGAAAATATATTGGCGACGGGTGCAAAGGAAGCTACAGCTACTTACGAAAATAAAAGACAAAAAAGGTTTATTCACTCAGCAAACACCTACTGAATGGCCCACAAGAGATCAGGCTCGGGCCTAGGTGGGCTTTGCAGAGGCAAGGATAAGTAGGACCACAGCTCTGCCTCCAAAGAGCCCACAGTCTTATGTGAGGGTAGGAAAGGACCGTGGGGTCAGGTCTTTCCACATTAGATGTCAGTATATCTGGCAGTGTTTATCCAGGGTGCCAAGTGCCATTCTCGGAGGCTGGGCATGAGGGGAGGGGTGGAAGGAAGAAAGAAGTGCCTGCCAAAGTCTAGGACCCCAAGGTCTAGGTCCCAGTTCTAGACGCTCCAGCTCAGCCCCTCAGGTTCCATAGAGCTCCTGGTCATCTGTCCTTGATGAGTTCACTTTAGAAACAGAATCTAAACAGTTCTTAACAATCATCAGTAGTACCCATCATTTCAAAGTGAGCTTTCCTCAATCTAGAAAAAAGGAAAGAAAAAAAATCCCATCACTTTCACACAATGCCTACCCCACCGCATAAAACGACTCCCTCCTTTATCGGGTACTACCCTACACATGTAAATATGACAGTTATCACACTATAGAAATGAGAGAATCATAGCTAGTTCACAGGCGCGCACATGCAAAATAGCAAAACAGAGGTCAGGCAAAGGTTTTAATTAGACTTTTGGTCTCATCTCTATCAAGGTGAGGCCCAGTCGCCCTGGTAAGTTTTCTCATAATGTTACGTAATATATGTATCAGAAATTGAGTCCAAATTAAATTCTTATCAAATATTTGGCAGAAATCAGCGTCCTTCGGGTCCTATGAGCTAATTTCCCCCATTTCTGAAGGTGCAGAGACTGACTCACAGGCTTCATCCAAGGGCCTCAGTCAGTCAGGAAGCTCCATTTTCTCAGCTCCCGGATTTTCCCCCAGCAGTTCTCTTAGCCTTATGACATCAGATGTTTGAAGCTGTTTGGAGCCATGTTGACATTACTTCCTACTTCCTTCATAGCTCCTGCTTCAAAGCATATTCTAGGCCAGTTTTGACTGTTTGTACTAAATGGAGAGAGAGGGCATTTAAAATATTCTCCAAGACTTAAAAAAGCCAAGAAACAACACAGTTCTCTTCATTTCCAACGTGGGACTTCATAAATTAAGAAGCCAATCTAGAGAAATGTATGTATTTCTGCCTGTTCAGTTAACTCTGGTATCTTTAACTACAAAAATCATCAACTATATTAAACAGGCTACCCTTATAAACTAAACTATATGCAATTAAGTCACATTAAAGGGGAGCAAGGAGACTAACGCTGATAAAATAGGGGCCAGTAGTAAGTATGATCTGTGGCCCAATGAGGCTACAGAAAAGCTGAGTGAGGTGAGCTCAAGCATCTCACACCAAGAAGACTGGCAGGTTGGTAGGTCACAATCAGGGACAAAGCTCTCCTGAGGGCTCCAGAGGTCAAGACTAGGTGAGGAATGAAGTAATTTGTGTGTGTGTGTGTGTGTGTGTGTGTGTGTGTAAGACAAATGGAGTCTTGGAAAACTATTCCCAACACAGACCTATGTATAAAGAACAGAGAACCAACTGCTCATTAAATTGTACACAGGACCAAGCATCCCTTGGTTTTCCCTGTTAGCATGAGTCATATGAACTTTCAGAACAGCCTCCAGAACCTTGTCTGAGGCAGAGCCGCCCAAATGCAAAATGAGCTAGCCCAAGGGGCCAGTGAGAGGACAGCGTCTGCTCTTCTTAGGGCGATTCAAGAAAAGATGCCAGAGGAGATGTGGCAGAAGTGCGGGGGAAGGGAATCACATAGGGCATGGCCGTTGGGACTAGTTCTGGCCAATGCTCTTGTTTTAAATGAAAATGCCGTTAGATGATGATGTGTCAGCCGAGGTAGAGAATGACCCTAGGAACAGGGGATATAACGCTAAGGCTGTTCTTCCAAAGTCCCACCATCTTCCCTCCCCACAGGATGGTGGGGTTTTGAAAAATCATTTTTCTGTTCTTGGAGAGGGGCGTGGATACTGTCGTACACTGGGCTGTGAGACAGACGCTCACCAGAATGCCAAGCTCGAGACAGACAGGCACACTTAGCTGAAGCTGACCACTGGCTACACCTACCAAACTGATTTCAAACACACACAAGTAAACACATGCCACTTTGATCTCCTGAGGAAGGAATCTCCAAAGGAAAAGGCTTTTACTTTTCATTCTCGGCTTTTAATACTTATCTACCCCCTGGTTAAACTCCTCCTCCAAAAATATTCATGCTAACAATGATCACACCAAATACCCGCAAGGGATCTAAAAATTATGCTGGTCACACAAAGGAGGCCTTTGCGCTGGCAAAGAACACAGGAGATATGCATTTACTGTTTCTCTTTATTCACCAGAGCCTACTGCTTAACAGATTTAATCTGGACATGTCACAGACACTGTGCTTAGGTCTGGTTTCTCTAAACCAACTACCTCAACAGCTTTCTATTGACTATGTGCTTAAAAGAGGGGGCAAAAAATCATTCAAAAGAAGAAAACTAGGTACCTAGATAGACCTACCTTAGTCCTAAAGCGATTTTAGGGATTGGAATGCAAACTCATGATACCCATGTACAAAGCCTCCATGGATGGCATGGGGAGGGGCTGGTGCTGATATTATTAAGGAGGCAGGGGCAGAGGAGGATGGAGGGTGGGTATCTAGAGAGCCCTCCTAAAAGAAAAGCATTACCCAGGCCACATGCTTGCCAGTGCCTTCGGTACGGCTCACTCTTGCTGGTAGACGGGGTCCTTTTGATGTGAGATGAGAGTTTGGCTCTCAACCTGAGAGCAGAGTGCGGTACTTACAAACTTGAGAAGGAAAGTGTTTTCCCGTAGAGCTCCAATGCACCCAGCAAATCCCAGAATGAACATCACTCCTCCTACCACGAGGAAGAGCCAAACTGGGTCAAAGCCGCCAAGATCGGTGATGGAAGAGATGTTGGACAGAACTCCCTGGAAGCGGAAAAGAACACACAACAGGGTGCCAGGAGGCGGGGTCAGTTTTCTATCATGAAAAGATGACTGCCACTGTCTTTCCCCACCCCACCCCAAGAAAACCTTGAGAGGTATCTGACTGTCACATCATATCAAGAAACACCACCAGACAGAAAGAAAGAAAGATAGACAGATAGGAAGATAGGCAGATAGGTAGGTAGGTAGATAGATAAAACAAAAGAAAAGAAAAATTACTTTCCAAGGTCTACATGGGTTCATATTTTTGGTAAAACTACATAAAGCAAAGACATGACCCCTAGAAACCGTCACCAGATCCTGTATGGAGAAGATGTGGATGTTACTTTGCTTTCTGTGTCTCCAAAAATAAGTGGTCTGAGTGAAAAACAGATGTGTAAGAAAGACACCTCTCAATACCCAAGAGGTGTCATTCTTACATCCCCAGGGCATGCAGATGCCAGACAAGGGCCACCTTCAAATCACTGGCACTTCTCAGGAAATAGGGTAGAGCTGGAATCTTAAAGCTAATATAGGGCAGCCAGTCCCAGCCACAAGCCCCTAAAAGTTTTCCAGGGAAAACTCACCTCAGGTCCACCCTTGAGCTCCCTGGGAGACCCTATCAGGCTCAGATCCCCAAAGCCCACCTGGGTGGTTTGTGCCGATGGCTGTCCCACACTGAGTTATTAGGGTATTTCCTTACCCTCATTTAAATGACTTAAAGATCAAAGGTTACTCCCTGGCTTGCAACCCGTTTGTTCTCCTGCCAAAAGAACCCAGAGTAATTTCATTTCTCCACAAACAATGCCACTTCTTTACTGAAATTTTCTCTCCCTTAAGTGTGATACCACATCAAATACCACCCAGAACCTGTTAGAAATTTTATGAGATGTTTTCCTCTACGATGGAAGGTATATATTTACTATTCATTCTTACAGAGGCCAGCTACTGCTATTTTGAAATTGTGGAGGTATGTGAGTCTTAAATACCCGATATCATCAGTATTTTATTTTCTTATCTTATTAAATTTGTTGTGAGCTCTCAAAATACCCCCAGAGTACCATGGTATAGTTTGCTATAAAGTCTTAATATTAAACAATTTGTTTGCAAAGCGTTCCCAACAACCTGGAAAAACAGGAATACTCATTTCATTTTATCCTTGAGGAAAATGGAACCCAGAGAGGTTTGGTGATTTGCTGCAGGTCACACAGCTATTGATTTTTTAGAATCAGAACAGAATGTCTACTTCAATAATCTTTCTCTACCAAGTGGAAGCTGTGTACTTGCTTCCCAGCACTTTTCAGTCAGCACTAATCAACACCTGAGTTTAGGGTTTCTATGTTTTAACCCATTTTAAGGTTGTAGGAACACTGAACAAGAGAATTTTGTTTATAAGCTTTCTGTTTCTTGCAGGGGTGGGCGCAGGGTGGGCAGGAACCACTTTAAGGACGGTAATAGGATACTAATAATAGAACACGTATGAGGCACAAAGGACTCCTAAAATGCACAACTTTAACCTTATGAAAAAGGCCAGAGTTTCAATAAAGTCAGAGATGAAGGGCTGAGAGATTATTAAACACTTAGGAATGTAGGGTGTATTCACTAATGTCTGGGGTGACATCATACGAGGCAACCACACCCTTCGTGAAACTGCATAGATCAATGGTTTGATCCAACCTTGTGTTTCTTAGATTTCCAAGCTCTGAACTATGAATACTCCGGGGGGGCGGGGGGGAAAGGAAAACCCAGAAATACTGTAACCAATTCCCCACCTACCCAAATGATGCTGAGAAAAAAAAAAAATTGCCAGAAGTCAAACAAAATCTAAGCGACAGTGCTGAGGGTCCAGAATTGGAAGGAAATCAACTTCTCCCCTCAGAATGCCTTTAAACATAGGTGGTAATATTTAAGGTCTTAATGTTTTGGACCTGCCCAGCCAGGGGAGGACAGGACTTTGAGGGTGTGTGATAACATTCCTAAACCTTAAAAAGTCAACGTAATTATGGAAGAAGGAGGTGACTCAATTTACTTGGCACCAAAAAGAGGCAGCAGGGCTGGAAGGGACAGGAGGAGATGTCAGTTCCAGCATAAAGAGGTCTTTCTAATACCAGCGGGTCTCCAGCAATGGGGCACAGAAGGCGGCCTGAGAAACATGGGCTTCCCCTGGCGGGAGCTGAAGCTATGAACCTCCCTCCCTCAGCCGTGCTCCAGGAGGGATTCTCAAAGAGGAGGGGAATTTGGCACTTACTGTCCTTTAGGTTCCTTCCAGTTTTAAGACCATTGTATGATTTCATCCATTTTTAATGGGCTTTTTATTTGTGATTCACACCAAAGTCTGAGCAAATATCAGATTGTTCCCAAACACTCTTCCATGATCTATGGCTGTACACAGAGAGCTCCATGGATAACAGGACAGTTATCTGAGGAATTTAGCAAAACAAGCAAACCAACACACACCTGTGCCTGAAATACCGAGACCCTCCCTCGCCAAAAGGCAAAAAAAAAAAGTATGGTCCCAACTGTCAGTAGATTCCTGGAGCACTGTCCTCTCTGGGTTTAATTTGGAGGATGAGAATTTGGCTTCTCAGACTCATTTTCATACTTTTACCCTCCCCAGCCTGCAGGGGCAGTTTTAATTGAGAGGCCTTCAACTGTTTCCATGGAAACAACAATCATTTGGGGGCTGAGCTGGACTGAAGATTCTACTCATTTAATCCCACATTCTGGCAAAAGACAGGGCTGGAGACAGATACTGAGAGCTTGTAGGAAATAATATTCTGCAGAGGACAGAAAAGACAACCAAAAACTTTATTTTTAATGGATTCCAGGTAGTTATCAGCCGGAAACTAACCTGAACCTTAAAACACAAAGTACGGCAGTCAAGGCCCAGTTTTCTTTTCCTGAGGATTAGGATAGCTAACCTGGATGGGGATGGAAAAAAGACTTACTCTTTCACCTGTGCAATGTCTCCAAATACTCACTGAAGAGCAGTCTTACTGTTTCTAACTACGCAGAGAAACCAAAGAGGAGCTGAACATAATCCTGGCAACAATGACTGGGGACTACAAAAATGATAGGCACTTGACAGCTCAGCCTTCTGTTGTCTCAAAGATGGGGTCTTTCACCGGACTTTTTAACTGTGTTAAACTCAATTTGACAGATGAGTAAAAAGCGCTAGGACATGCCAGCTGAAGAATAATTATAATTAAAGCTTGTAGTTGAAAAGAAGCCGGAAGAAAAAAAAAAAAATCCAACATTACAGTTAAGTCTGCCAAGTGACTTAAAATAGGCATTCAGATTCGTGGTAAATCCTGAGGAATGTGCAAGCACAGCAGCAGCAGACACCTTATCTTCCGGGCACCTGTGGGCACCACCCTCTCCTTCAGGCAACAGCGCCTCCCTCTTCTTGTAAGGATTCCTCCTTCCCAAACCCACTCCACGACCACCTCAGAGCTGCCAGCTCTCACGTGACCCCACCGCCCCGGTAGGAGTCGGAAAGCCTGAAATTCCCTGCCTCTGACACCAGGATCTGGAATAGGCATCTGTCTAGCGGCTGAAGCTATAAAAGGCTCAACTCTGGAGCCACGTGCAGTGTGTTTTTCACCTTGTGGAGAAAGTCAGTCTGTAGCGAGAAACAAAGAACAAGGGTAGGGGAAGAAAATCCTGACAGTATTATAATCCCTGGCCTGACCATGAATTCTGTGAGTCACTCAGGATCCTTAGACCCCTTGATAGCATACAGTGGTTGTATCTGGATCTGAATTTGCACCTGAGGAGTCCCACACAACACGACAGCTTCGAATAAACTGTGCTTTAGTGTTGCATGTATGCGCGTGCGAGCACACACACGACCAAAACTAAAGCTCACAATCTACCCTGGAAAAAAGTATTGGGTCGGGGGTGGGAAGCAGACGGTGCGGGGTGGGGAGTATAGAGGGAAGGGTTGGATTTAATGATACCTTTACTCAGATGGCTGATATTTCCAGTCAACATATTTCCAGTCAACACAGCAACTGAGCCAGTGTTAATAATCTCCTTCACGTTGACTCACTATCAATTCAGCATCATTAATGAAACAATCAGTTCTGGAAGGAACTTTTAGGTTTTGCCTATGTCACCAACAATACGTACATGATTTCAGCTCCAGTTCTCCACGTTGACTTGAATGGTCAGTCCTTGGGTTTAAATAACCACTTTTTAGAACTCAAACTTATTGAAAAAATAAACCAATACAAAACGTTATCTGGCTACTCTCCTTTGTACCCAGAGCTGCTGCTAATGTGAGAAGAGCACACACAGAGCCTGAATTTGCACCCCAGTAATAAGTCCTCCCCCTGCCTGGATCCTGCAGCAAAGCCCTGGGAGTTAAAGACGTCAAGGGTACTGGCCTTGTGCGTAAGGTCAGAAAATAGCATCCTATGAAGCTGAATCTAACCGGAATAAGGATAAATGGATGAAGAGCGGAACAGCTGTCCACGTGTACTTATTCCTTTAGCCATTTGTTATGGTTGACATGAAGGTGGAATTCTGAACAGGAGCAGCAAAGACAGAAAAGGAATGAGTGAGAGCCAGAGACCAAGATTGCAGGTCACAAGAAGAATCTATTCGAATACTGTAGAGTCAAGAATAAAAGGAGGATTTCTCATACACATATCCTTTGTTAATACATTAAGATTACATTAAGAAAAACTAGTGTAAATGAACATCCATAAGAATTCTTCATATTCATGCTGTATACACCTGTACCTATATTCTTGTGACCCTCACTCATCTCCTCCAAGTCTACAGCTGTTGCTGCAGCAGAGGCAAAAACAAATCGACCGTAACCACGTGCTGCTGTAAAGACACAATGAAGAGCAGTCAATTTAAAAAGTTAAAACAAATATTTCCGGCAAATTAGCCATTCCACAAATTGGCTGTTAGACAACTAGCTTTTGGCATATCAATCTGGAGCCTTTAAGAGATGACTGCCAAGGAAAATAGGAGATTTCCATTAACCAGAC